AACCAGTTGTCATCGGAATAGTCTGGTCAAGTGTAATGAGCACTGTGGAATGGAACAAAAAAGAGGAGCTTGTAGCAGAGCAAGCCATCAAGCACTTGAAGGTATTAGAACCATGCCTTGACAAAACAAACTATTCTGCTTTTACGTGGGGATCAGTGAACTGTGACTATACTTTTTAAAGAGGATTTATTGCATCCTGTGGTTCCTGGGGATGGCCCACCAGTAAATGGACAAATAGTAACATTAACTATTGAGGATAATCCTCTGAATTGGTCTGTGGTTCACAGATTAAAAACAAGAATATGGCCTGGCCAGGCATAATGGCTCACACCTGTAAAACCAGCACTTTGGGAAGCCAGCGCGGGAGGATTGCTTGAGCTCAGTTTAAGACCTGCCTGGCAACATAGTGAGACCTCATTTCTACTAAAAATCACAAAAAGCCAGTCATAGTGGCACATGCCTGTAGTTCCAGCTACTCAGGAGGCTGAGGGAGAGGATCGCTTGAGCCCTTAAGATCAAGACTGCAGTGAGCTTACGATGGTTTTGTCAGACAGAGCCTGGGTGACAGGGCGAGATCCTGCCTCAAAAAAAAAACATGATGAAAAGGAACTTAAGCCTGTAATTAGACGTTTGCTTTTGAAGCAGGTATTGGAAAATACTAATATTGTTTGACATTTACTTGGACTACTTGGTATAGTATTGTTTATTTTACTTAGCTACTTAAGTCAATTTTCTGGTTTTTTTGGGTTTTTTTGGGTTTTTTTTTTTTTGACAGTCTCACTCTGTCACCCAGGCTGGAGTGCAGTGATGTGATCTCAGCTCACTGCAGTCTCCATCTCCTGGGTTCAAGCGGTTCTGCCTCCTCAGCCTCCCAAGTAGTGCCTGGCTAATTTTTGTATTTTTAGTAGAGACAAGGTTTTACCATGTTGGCCAGGCTGCTGTCAAACTCCTGACCTCAAGTGATCCACCTCCTTGGCCTCCCAAAGTGTTGGGATTACAGACGTAAGCCACTGCGGCTCACGTCTTTTTAAAATTTCTGGTAAATGAGCTATAGTTTGCAGTGATTATAAAAGATGAGTTAAGTTCTGTATTGTCTGTATTGTAGGGGTTTTGTAATGGACGGTTATTTGTAATTAATGACTGAATCTTCTCTCCCTTCCTTTAACAGCAATACAGCCCTCTACTTGCTGCCTTTACTACTCAAGGTCA